TGTCTCGCCGCGCCACGCCCCCGGGGCGCCTTTAGGAAGATAAGAGGCCGCAGTTCCCGAGCCTTGGTGGCTGGGCGCCCCCGCTGACTAGGGAGGAGGAGGGAAGACAAGGTTAGGGCCGCGTCTAGCAGGGAGGGGCTGAGTGACAGCACTGGGAATTTTAGAGTGGGCTGGCCTTCACCCGGCTGGTGAATTTACATGTTCCGCCCCTAGGAGGGAGTTAGGAGCCACAGACAGGGAGTGGGGTGGAGGCTCTGAGAGCTGCTGGGAGGTAGGGGCACAGGCAGCGTATCTGATGCTGCCTGCCTCGCCTGCCCACTTACAGGAAAGCACGGATGTGAGGCTTTTGAACGTGCAGAGTGATGTACATCGATACCCCACAAATAACACATGAGAGGGGTCCCAGCTCCCCTGGCTGCTGTGATTCACTCCCCTCCTTATCCAGCCCATTTCCCAGGGTCGTGGAGTGGCTGAAATCTCTATGGCAACAGGAAGGGCTGGGGGTTAGGATTCCCTCTGGCTTCTCTGTCCCCCATCCCCCAGAGGGCAGGGTAACAGATCTGGGCTTCAGGTCCTGTGCCTGCAGCAGTACCTTGCCAGGGAAGCAGACAGCTATAGGGTTGGGGGCCCTAGAGACAGGCCTTTATTGGGGGCCCAGTTCCCTTTTCTACACACAATGTTCACTTGAGGTCTTTGAGGGCAGTGAGGAAAGTCAGAAGGATTTCTCGATCTCCTGTCCCTTTTCTACTGTCACCTGGAGCCTCAAAGTGAGCACCACACACACACACACACACACACACACACACACACACACACACTTTTCTCTAGGAGCTGTCCCTCCGCCCCCTGCCAACCCTGTGACAGCCTCTCCCAACTGCATTCCAGTCAGCCCTGCCCCAGAACTCTGGCTTCTCCCTCCCTTCTGAAGGAACGGAATTTGGATTTGGGCTTCTGACAGCCATACCACCCGCCCGCCCTCCTCCCCAGGGGCCCGGCATAGGGACTGGTCTTTTGGGTTCAGTCAACTTTCCCTCTAGGGTTCAGACCCAAACGGCTGTATTAATATCAAAGCCCGAAGGTGAGGGTTCCATGGCCTTGGGGCTACTTGTGTGGGGATTTTCCCCTTGTCTGGACTTCCCTGCACTCCGGAAGGGGAAGTGTCCAGAGCCCTTGGAACGGCTCCACTTTTTGACCTTCTGGGAGCGTCCGGCCCGAGACTGGGACTGGGACTGGGACTCGGAGACCATGGGTGTCACCCAGCCTGGCTTCTCCTTCAGCAGCCTGTCACGGTCAGGCCGCACACTACGCAAGAACTTCCTAAAGATATTTGCTGTTAGAGCAAACTTGCGGCCCAGCTCCCAGGGCTGGCCTTTCTTTCCTTTGGGCTCACCTGCCCCGCCAGTTTCCCCCTTCTCCCCACCCTTCTCCAGTTCTGGCAAATCTAGCCAGTTGCCCACCAGGTCCGCAAAAACATTGTCCCCTAACACCAGCGGCTGCCGGTTCCTGCCCCGAGACATCAATGTGGAGGTCCAGTCATCTGGCTCCACCCACTCTGGCCCCTGCTGGGCACAGCTTTGGTGCTCTGGCAGCTGTGTCCTGGACAGGGGGTGGGGATCCCTCCCACAGACACTCCTGTGGCTTGGAAACTTGGTGCTGCTGCCAAGAGAAGGGTGGCTGCAGGGGGAGGAGCGGGCCACAGGCCTGGCTGGATCTCTGCCTCCTTCCTGGAGAGGGCACTTGGGCCGTGTCTGGGGACTTTCAAGGCAGCCTGGTACAGGATCCCCCGCAGAGATGTCCAGCTGTTCCAGTGCCGTCTGCACCTGTAGGAGCTTCAGTTCTTGCAGTGCACCCATCATGCAGTTCATCTGATCCTGTAAACCATCACCCACTTCCTTCATGGACATCTGAAGGGGACAGAGAGAGCATTGGCCAGTGAACCACAAGGGCTTCTCCTCCTGGCTCTGAACCGAGACTTGCCACCCACCTCTCCACAGCCCAGTTCAGTGACGCTCCTTCTGGGACAGATTTTAATGTATTAAAGCTAGACAAGGGAAATAGCATTAATAGCAACAAAGGAACTGAGGTAGGCACTGTCCTAAAAGCCACACAGATGCTGCTCCTCTTACGTATTATGGCCAAGTAAACCCGTAGTAAGTTGAAAATGCCTTTAGCATACCTAACCTACCAGACATCACAGTTTAGCCTAGCCTCACTTAAATGTGCTCAGAACTTTTACATCAATCTATAGTTGGGCAAAACCATCTAACACAATAAAGGCTGTTTTCTAAGGGGTTGAATATCTCGTGTTGTACAGCATACATAAAAAAGGGGGAAAAAGAAAAGAAAAATGAGTACACTTTCATACCACGGGAAAGTCCAAAATCAATGTTAGGGACCGCATGCACGCACGTACGTGTGTACATGTATGTGTGTGTGCATGTGCTGTGTAATATATAACAATCTTCATTTAATCGCCCAGCTACCCTGTGAGGTAGTGACTGTTATTCTCGTTTGACAGATGGAAAAGCTGAGGCACATAAGTTACTTTTCCAAGGTTAAGTTGTAAAAAGATGCAGCTGAGACCAATTTGAGGGTGCCCAAAGTTAGGGTAGCCAAGCTTACCCATCTTGCTGTCTGGGGCCTTTTTCTCTCTGGTGGATGATGGTGATAATGGAGGCGATATTTTGTGAGCATTTACTATGTGACAGAAATTATGCTAGTTACATGTATCATCTCATTTAATCTCTATACGAACTGAGGTAGCTATTACCGTTCTCAGTTTAACAAGTAGAGAAACTGTAGTAGGGATGAAGTTAACTCACCTGTGGTCACACAGTTCATAGAGTTGGGACTAAACTCCAGGACTGACTCACCCCAGATGCTGTAGTCCTAACTACCAAGCACAGCCTGCATGTGGCTGGGCAGAGCCTTGGTTTTAAGGCTACTGTGTCTTCTGCACAGCAAGAGAGAGGGGTTGAAAGGGTCTTTACATCTGACTGTCCAGCAGAGAAATGAGGCCAGGAAACTGCCGCTTTCTGGAAGCCCTTGCCTAGCTCTTCCCAGCCCTGTCTCTCCCTCCCAAACACCTGTCCTCTCTCAGCTGCCCTCAGATGTGGCTCCAGCACTCCTGCTGCCTTCTTATCCTGACTGGCTGTACGCCCTGGCCAAGGAAGAGTGGGTATCTGAGGCCAGTTCTTCTAGACCCCTTTTCTGAGGACAGAGCCTCAGGTGCCATCTGGAAGGGGCCGAGAGACTGACTTGGGCGAGGGCCACATTTGGAGGCTGGGGAGGAGAGGCTCTGTCTGATAACATTCACAAAGTTCACTTTTCCTGGACCTGGGCTGCCTTGGTCCTGCCAGCTCCCTCCCCAGATCCTGATCATGTTACTCACAGCAAGCTTCATGTTCGGGGACCATCTGTTTCTTAAGCCCCCCAGAGACCCGCAGGATCATCTTACCTCCTGTCTTAATGCTCAGAGCTAAGCCTGGAGGGCAGGCTGGGTAGGGAGCTGGCAAGGCAGGCAGGGAAGTTCTGCAGGCTGGGCCGGACTGGCAGCTGACAGTCTGAAGCTTCAGGGTCCGGTGTTCACCTACCAATCCTGGGCCTGGCAGGGAGAGGCATCCTAGACAGGCTCTCAGTGAGCCAGAAGCACTCAAGGACAGTGGAGGACTTGTGCCCCCGAAGGCAAGGAGGCTTTTGCTGGAGTGTGAAGATTGCCTGTGCTTTGTGCCCCTTCCCAAGGTAGGGAAAGACATGGTGGTCTGAGGCTCTGACAGCCCTGACATGAGCATGGGCAAGTACAGGAGTCTGAGCGGTGGCGGCAGCAGCAAGAAACAGGGAGCGCATGGGTGGCTGTGCCTGCTGTCGATGGCCCTTGCCCTGACCTCTTTGCTTCTGCCTTCTGGACCCTTCCTTTCAGAAGTAGTTGGCTGCAGCTGCTGAGAGCCAGGGCAGAACTACAGGAGACTCAGCCCCAAACCAAGCTCAGTTCATCCTGGCAAACCACGTCCCCCAGACTTCCCTATTTTTCCCTCTCCCCCAGTCCACTTTCCTGTTACACCTGCCTGGAACCTCAAGAGACATTTTTGGCTCCTGCATTCAACCATCCCTCCCCCATCCAACTTAATCACATACATGTTGGAGTCCTCCCCTAGATGTGTTGCAACTCTCCCTCCACCCCTGAAATGCTGCAGGAGCCTTATTTAGGACACCAGACATATTATGAGTGCCTGACCAGTTTTCTCAAACGCATCCTTCCGGTCACCTTAGTGGCTCTCCGTTGCTCAGAGACTCGGATCTAGTAACCAACTGTAGAAATGATCCCTGCAAGTACAGCCTTGCGAGGCTCAAATCAAATCGGATCTGCAGTCCAGACCCATGACAGGATTTTCAGTGCTGGGCGTGTCCCTCTCCCCTGGATGGACTCGTCACACTCCTGTTGGGGCCTTGTCTGTGGTCTTTAAGATGTTCTTCCCTAAAGTCCTGCTGCTTATGTACTTGCCCCATGTCCTTCACAAGTTGAAGTCCTAGCTGCTCGTGAAATATTTATTGAGCACTACGGGTGAGCAGAGAATGAGGTCTATACCCAGAACCTAGCTACATACTCATAAACCATACAGTAAGTCCTACAGACTGCCCCTTCCCCCACAGATCATCTATTCAGCAAACTTCCTGCTACCTTCAATCACCTGCTACACGGAGATGAGAGAGGAGAGGGAGAGAGAGACACTTCCCAAGTCTCATTTCACCAAGCAGCAAGAAGTCTGGGCTGGCAGGCTTCCTTCCAGAAGGCAAAACACAGTCCAGGTCAGAGGCAGTGGGAGGAATGACATGACCCCATTTGGTTTTACCCAGTATGGAAAAATCCATAAGAAATAACGCTGACATTTTGCACAAGTTTTCCAGCAAGAATGAATGCGTGGGTATGCATGAATTCAGGGCTGTCCATAAAACAAAGGCCCCATTTAAGAAAATAAGGGCTGAAATTGCACGCATGTTAGAAGTAATATTCTGTATCGGTTAAGCCGTGTAGTAGCTATGTGACTTGGGCAGGTTAAATTGTTTTTCAATTTCTGCAGTCATTATGAGAACGACAGCTTCTGTCTTATACAACTATTATACAGATTAGATGAGGTAATGTGTACCTCTATATGACACAAAGAAAGGATTGGGTGAATGCTGGCTGTTCATTTAAGGCTTCCTGTGTACTTCCAGAACACTTTTTCCTCATTGAAAATGAACACATAGTAATGACAGGATAAGGGAAACATCTCTTGTCCTGTCCCTTCTCCCCCGCAGCCCTGCCCCATGCAGGGGAAGGTGAGGGGAAGGAAGAGGAAGCCTGGGCATCCTCCTGCCTACCCTCACGCTGACCTCAGCCCAGCCACAGGCAGGTGCTAGCAGGCAGGGAAGCGGGAGGAGGCAGCTGAGAGAATGGAAGAAGGAAGTTGAGTTGTGGGAAACCCGGAGGCCAGGGGCTGTGGGGGCAGGAGCATCCCTTGGGTCTTCACAGAGAAGGGAGCCAGTGGGACAGCCTTTCCCACCAGCCCCAAGGGGATGATGTCACCCCCAGAGGAAAAGCCAGGGGCCAAGCTGCTGTCTTCACCCAGAGCATGGGACTGTCTCTGATCTGAGCTTCTTGAGCTTCAGGACTGAAGAGGGAGCAGTCTGAGTGGGAGCTAAGGAGTGGGGCCAGCTCAGGCAGCCAGAAGTAAACATCTCTAAATCCCAATCTTCAAACGAGAAGCTGCTGAGTTCCTCGGGCATCCTAATGTCTCTGAGCCTCAGGTTCTTCCTCAGGACAGCTTTATCCTACTTGCTCTCTGTGGTCAGCTGCAGGGTCTGATTGGACCTGATTTGTCTGAGTAGGAATGGATTTCACAGCCACTTCCCTTGCAACTCCACATGTGTGACTGAACTACCCACCATCCGATGCAAAGCCCAGGGAATATCTTGCGAATCCTTTCTGAGAAAGGCCCTCAATGGTCTTCACCCTGCTCTTTGCCTCCTCCACCACCACTCAGTCCAGCTCCCACCCCTAGCACCTTCGAGGACTCAGTTTCATCTTAAACATGTTCTGCACATCAAACTTTGGCTCACTGAGGTTTACCTCAGCATGCGGTATAGTCTGTATTTGGAGCTGCGTAGCTGCCACTTCCCCCCTAGTGTGGGAGGGAGCCCCACACCGTTTCTGGAGACCTAGCTGACTGACCTCGGCCCTAGCTAACTTGGCCATGAGCCACTAGGCAAATTCAATAACCTTTTATGCATTGGGTTCTGAATTGGTGAATAATAGGCCCTCCCATGTGTTTGGCACGAGTTCTTTCACACTGCCTGAGCCCCACACTTGCTCCAGGAGGCTGACTAGGCAGGTAGAGTAAACCCCACTCTATGGATTAGGAAACTAGCGATCATCTCAGATCATCCTCTCTCTGTGCTGCCCAAATATGCCCCATTTGGCTGTCGTTATTTTCACCGTTATCTACTCGTGATCCAGACTTCTGTTTAATATTTTAGTTAAATGCAAATAAATGTGTTCATAAAGGAATTTGCACGCAAAGTAGATGGCTTGCCATCAATGACAGTAGCTATAAATATAGAAGCTGCCTTGGTCACCACCAAGAGAAACATTGCTCTAGCTCCTGCGGTCCTAAAGCTGTCGGTGGGAGGGCTGAGACCCAAGGCCAGCTCCCCTCTCCAGGACAGTGGGCTTTCACGCCCGCATAATCCCTGACCATTCAGCCTCATGGGGTAATAGTGAGAAGAAACCAGGCCAGTCAGCGGCCTGTACCACCAGATGAGGAGGAAGAGCACAAAACCACCCTCCGAGGGCCAATTCAGTTCCTTCCCACTGACGCTCCTCTTCACTAAGGGATGAAGGAAAAGGAGCTGCCTCCCCGGGCCA